AACGATGAAAGATACGCGAATTACAAATTGCACTTTCCTAGCCGGGCACGTTATTTACCATTTCTACGGTATTCGGCGTGTTGTTTATCGTCTTACGTGGAACACCGTTCATGCGTGTATCGCGGTGTTCGCTACGTGCACGATATTTCGAGACGCCAGCTCCCTCCCAGCCAGTTTAAAATATACAGATTTTAATTTCGCTGGATTTTAGGGTGATTTTACGGTTTGGACTTTTTTGACTTTTTTTTCGCCGCGATTTGTTCAGCATTTCATTTACAAACAAGGATTTTTTTGGTCATTTGGATATGAATGTTTAGTAACTTGGGATAATGATTAATAGACGACGTGAGTGTTAGAATGTTTCGTTTAGAAATGTTCTTCTTCTTTTTTCTTTTTTTTTTTTTAAATAAAGCAAGAATTTTGGAGAAAATTTGGCTCGCCTATTGGAGAATTACAGAGATTCTTCGCATAGATGTAAATGATGATTTTGTGGAAGCATTACAAGCTTTATCTTCGTTTTTTTTTTTTTTTTTTTTTTTTTTTTTTTTTTTTTCTGTAGTATATACTTCGTATATTCCGATGTTTGATTTACCGTGTTCAATTTTATAGGGGGTTAGAATGCTGCAGGTACTTCGTACCACGTTTCAACAATTTCAACTTCTTGAGAATTTCGGGCACTCAATTTCAGATGATCTAAATGCCTCGGATATCCTTGAAACTTTCGCATATTTTGGTCACACCAAGTACTTCAGATACTTCAGACGTTTCGAGTAGGAGGCGGGGCCTCTAATTTGGAATAATAACTCGGTATCCAGCTTCTTGGAACAATTTGCTATTGAAATTGTTTCATATTTAGTAGGATCTAGTTCTCTTTTTTTTTTTTTTTCTTCATAAACTTGATATAATATAATTTGACGTTCAACCTCTCGTTTTGCAATTCTTTGTGATATAACTATAACAGAGTGTTTCAGAATCTGATTTCATAAATTAGAGGCAACGAGATAAGTCCACAGAACAATAAAACTAGCAACGATAATAAGAATATATCATTAGTATAGTAAATTCTGTTTTACGTCGCGTGGGAGTAGGGTGGATAAGGGATATCAGGTAACCAATGATAGTCATCGATAACCCTATTCACGTCTCAAACCACCCTAATTAAGTTCTTGATCTGTATGATATGAAATCGGAGCTAGTAAACGAGCTTCTGTTATAATTTCGCAACTCCTAGATATGCGTATAGTGTACAAACCATTGTCAAACTCATAGTGAGGAATTTTTCTGTTATAGTAAGAGCTACAATTAATATTAAATTTTTTGCAAACAATCACGCCTCTACTTTCGGCTAATTATCTGGATACAAATTTATTAACACTGGTTAATGATTCATGACTGTTATTCCCGCAAAATAGCAAAAAGTTAATTAAACGCAATATGGTTTCCATAATCGTGCGATCTTCAGTTTGTACTGTACAATTTGTTTTAAAAAATTAACGTAGTTCTATTCTAGACTTACTATAGTGTTATTACGATCTATACTCTGCTGTCTATACCACGTATTGTTAAATTAAAGAACATTGTTCAACGAAGCAAGAAATATACTCAATAGAAATAAAAGCTTCCTTCTTTCTTTCAATTAAAGATCTTCAATTTCAGATAATCGTGGGTTCCGCATAATTTAGCCCAATTAATATAGTAAATCTTGCACTTTTGCAAACACTCCACCACTTTCGAGTAATTTTTTCATTCTTGTCTGAAAAAGAAACTAAATAGACGGTTGTTTCGTCTATCGTATAATTAGTAATTCTTATTTCATTTATTGCAATAAATTACAATTAATGTGAAATATCGCACTTTTAGTCAAAATTGACACTCCGGATAATCTGTCATGGTAAGACTGGTATTTCAGTTTACACGGAGATGTACAGGGATGTTAACAAAATCGATGGATGATACATTTGTCCAGGTGTTGTCTCGAGATAAAGTTACGATTGAATAAATCTGTTATTTATTTTTGCGACGTTACGTTCGCAAGTTATTTGCTCTTCGTATGTAAATATTATCGATTGCGTCGATTTTGTATTAAAGAGATCGTTTCTAAAGGTAAATTTATTGTCTCTCGCGCGAATTTTGTTTCGGTATCCCAGTAATATTATCTGTGTAAAGTGTAGCTTTTCCTACGTTTTGTTTGAACAACGACGACGACTTGGTTCCATCTTTTCAGCTTTATTCATTTTTGGAATGAAATTTTGAGACGTGAGAATTAAAAACGAATAAAAACAAATTCGTTTCAATTTTCAATTCTCGTAAATATACGAACGGACATAGTACGATCCATTAAAAACTAGAAGATCCATGCATAATGTGACAATTGTTGCTATCAAATTCACGATGGCTGTACATGTAATACCTGATTGAAAACTATGTGTCTTTTTTTGGTTCTTTATTCTTTAAGAAATATTTTATTCTTCAATAACGAAACATTATGTCACAAATAAAGCAAAAAAAAAAAAAAAAAAAAAAAAAAAAAAAAAAAAAAAAAAAAAAAAAAAAAAAAACAAAACACAGAAGAATTAATTACGAAGCTTAAGGGTTCTATTCACAACTACGAAAATTTTAAGAAAAACTTCAACATGCGATAAATCATGCGTCTCTCTCAAATTTAAGAGACAATTCAGACCACGAATGAGTCAGAAAATACAGGAGAGTCAATCAAGCGTCAAAAAGCTTAAAAGCAGCTACTCTGTTCGCAATCTCGAGCTTCAAGAGAAACTTTAATATGAAACAAAATCTGTGCAAAATCTGATAGTCTCCCGCTAGTTTGAGAAATTTTTTTTTAATGTCATAAAGACGCTAAATGGAATGAACGCGTTCAACTTTTGCGCCGCGAACGTGCCAGAGTCAATTACGAAGCTTAAGCTGCGTACAATACATATCCACGTTCGCACAATCGTCAGTTGTGCACACGGTTTTAAATCAGTATAAAACAATTGCAAATTCGACAATAACTGACAAACAAACGATAAAGCACATAGCACGAGCGACGAATTATGCTTCCGTTGCGGTGCATTATCCGCGTACTCTCGATGATATATATCAGGCGAAGATTTTGCCCTTCTGTTTGTTCGTTTTTTCTTTATGTTAATGGATTCTCCTCTCGTTTCACCTATTCCCGTGGCTCGCTCGCTCGCGTTTGCCGGCGATAGTCTTTCGCAGCAAATGGCTGATATATCAGGGAACGGAGTAAACATTACTGATTCGACGCAGTGTGTTTTGCGCAATGTGTTGCAGGGTTGTACATTATTGTGCGTACAGTATCGAATGTATCGTATATGCTGAAAGAATTTTTTCAAAGAAGGAGATACGCGACGTTTGTGACACGTACGTGATCTGGAATCTTTTATTTATTTGTTTAAAGTTCCTGTCTGGTTTCGAACTTTTGCTACTCGTAGGTGTACGATTCATATGTAATTTACGTATTATATGTCTACGCATTTAAACAGAAGGTGATTGTAATTTATTCTAGAAAAGTGGCATCACTTCGGTTCCCCAAATCTTTTGAAATCGAAACGTAAGTGTTATTCCCATTTTGAGAAATCAAATGAATGTCACAGCGACGAATGTCTAGTGTGAAATTTAACAAAGAATGAGAATTTTCTTGTAGTCTGTTTAAACTCGACACATTTTCAAACGTTAGAAAAAAAGAAGGATCAATCTTAATTATACTGGAACATTTAACTGTTCTAATATACATTATTTCTATATATTATTTTATATATATATATATATATATATGTATATATATAATTTTTATATATTATCACATATAATATATATTATTTTATGTATATATGTATATATATTATTTTATATATATTAGAATAATAGGAAGATTTTTAACCTCAGATATCTTCAAAGGATTCCGTGTTACCAACGACAAACTTACACCAAAACACCGCCATTTATCTTCACCCGATGCATGATGCCGCGAACCAACGTTCGAGACAACGTTAATCTCCAAAATGAAACCGAGTAACAGAAACGTAATCTCTTAATTATGTTAACCTATCGCTTATTACTATCAGACACGACCTACAGTCCACGCTGCTGAGCAGAACTAACCCAGAGGCCACTAACCATGTTAATTACGTACCGAAGAAACGGAGGGAAAGAATTCGATGGGGGTGAACATGGTGGGTGTACGGTGTACCAAGGGGATGCAATCATCGTTACGACAAAGATCGGACGACGCCGATCGGTGTGTGGCGGTGTGTGTCTCTCGGAGTCTCTCGTCACAGCGACGAACATGGCGGAGATCCAGAAATTGACAAACGATCGGTCGAATTTTCCACGGCCAGCAGACGCGCGCATAGTAGAATCTTGATTGCGAAAATATCCTGGAACCGCGCGACCAAGTAAAGCGCATTTACATCCCCTCTTTCCCCTTGGCCCCGTCCATACAGTTGCATCTGTAACGCGCGTGGCGCGGCTTGCACGCTTGCAAACGCGAGCTCTCTATCCGGTGTGCGCGCTCGTCGAACGCCTGGCCATTAAGTTGCCGGTGCAATCAGAACGTTTCGAGAGAAAGAGAGAGAGAGAGAGAGGGGTAGAGAGAGCTTGCACGAGTGTCAAGATTAATAATATGTCTCTGAAGATACATGCATCTGTTAGTCAGACGTTTCGTGTCGTGAATATAGGTCGAGTTCTCTCTGTCTCTCCCTTTCTATTTCTCCTTTATTTTTATTTTCTCTTTCTCTCTCTCTCTCTCTCTTTCTCTCTCTAGAGATCGTTCGCTCGTCGGTTTCGTCGAAAATGTATTCGCGACTGAGGTCGTTAATGCATCCCCCCAATAGCTGGAGAATTATAGAACGCGCGCGTAGATATCGATACGGTTGCCTTCAGTGAACCTCTCTCTCTTTCTCTCTCTCTCTCTCTCTCTCTTTCTTTCTTTCTTTCTTTCTCTCTTTCTTTTTTCACAGGCATAATTTTTCTCTTTTTAGGACAGCGACGGGGAGAAGAGCGATCAGGACTTGGTGGTGGATGTCGCGAATGAGGTCAGTTCAATCTCCTACCACCGCGCTGGATTCGATATTTTTAGCGGCAAATTCATTAGGCGAAAGTTATCCGCTGCAGAGGGAAGTATATACGGGGCTCCAGATGAAAATCAAGGACCTTCCTTCGGGATTGGGTTCACGATCAACGATTTCTGGTCACACTAGCGGGATTCGTTCGTTATGGAAGATCGGATTGTTGATTGGAATGATGCGGTCCAAGTGGTTTCTGTAACGTTCAGCCCTTTTGTGTCGTTGATGCATTATGTACTAAATACGGCCGCCTTTTCATTTTTTTTTTTTTTTTTTTTGTTTTCTCCTTCAAATCTGTGTTTTTGCGTCAAGGAGATGTTTGGTTAATCGCATCTGATACGATAGTGTTTGTCTTGTAACGATCAAAGCACAGAATGTGTTTTCAAATTTCAACAAGGGACACAACTTGAAAATTTAGTAAGAAGAACCGTAACCGATTGTTGATATTTTGAACTATAATCATTCCTTTCCGCTGTACAGTAAGGCCGTACAGTAAATTCAGTCTTCAAGATCACGTGATACATTTAGTCACGAAAGAAAAATCTTTCAGTATATCTGATTGAAGTTCTGCATTTCTCAAATATCTTCGTTTTCCTACCAGAACAGTCGGTCAAAATAGAGACTCCTGCGACAGTTTGAAACATTGACGAAATTCTTTAATCAAGGTCAATTCGAATCAAAAATAAAAAAAAGAAAAGATATTAACAGGTTTTAAAATTCTTTGTCTCTGACACTTGGAACCTTGAAGGAAGTGGTTGATTTTTGTTAATATCCTCGTATATAAATTTAACTCTGACGGAACATAGCTCTACCAAATTTGTAACGCACTTTATCACTCTGGTTAAGTGTTTAAGAAATTTTCGAGCATCTATAGTCGATATAGTATGTCGAGGAAGAAGAGGAAGTTACATAGACTTGGCGTTTCTCTTTCAAATAAAATGTTTCACTCGTTTTTTTTCTATTTTTTTTCTCTCTCTCTCTCTCTTTTTTGGTACAAAAGGAGGCGTCATCGCCACACGCGAACGGCGAGCACTCAGATCCACGTGAGAACGGTACTCTGGAGAAGCTGGGCGCACCGGGACACGTGGGGCCTATTTCCGGTGCTGGCTCGACATCCGTAAAAGACAGGCCACCGTCGCGGAGCGGAAGTTCCTCCGCTCGTAGCACACCATCTCTGAAAAGTAAAGATGTAAGATCTCGCGGATAGCAAGCTTATTCGATGACTAATCGGTCCTGTTCCACTTCTCTTCTTCGGGCGTCGTGCCTGCTTGCGTCGTTTCCTTTCCCGATTTTGCCGAAAGGAGATTCGAAATTGTCGTTTCTTTCGTTTGTCGAATGGAAACTGTGCATGCTATACGGGAATATGCCTAAGGGCGACACACACTTACAAACGATTCGGAGGTTTTCGAACTTGTTTCCTCGAAGTGAAGTCGAGTTCTCTGAACGAAGTGAAGAAGATCGATGTCGCGGTGAATATAATGATACAAAGTTGCATTGTTTATGTAAATTCAATTTCTTCTATGTTATCATACGTATTATCGTATGTACAATATATACATGTAATACACAGAAAAGTTACGACGAGCAATTCTTTATCAAAAGATCAATTCGACACCGTCGATAACATTTCTTCTAGTTTAGTTTCGAATGGCGTGTAAATTTATGCCAAAACGGCAAAGAAACGCGACACACTCCACGATGCTTCAATCGAATCGTAATTAAACACAACTTTCCAGTCTATACAAATGCAACCGGATCCTCTCTGTTCGCGAAGAAATGGCAGAGAACGAAATTTAAATCGCAACAGCCGGGCTTCCTGAAAATGTCGAAAACGACGGACACGTTTCTCGTTGGTTGCCCTTAGCGCATCGCGCGTATATATACCGGAGCATCGATATAGAAGCACGTAGTAGCTGAAATTCGCGGCGCGAAGTTGCGACAAGTCAATTTACGCGAACGTTAGAGGGAAGCGCAGAAGCTCTCGGTTCATACACACAAACACACACATATATGCGCTCTCTCTCTCTCTCTCTCTCTCTCTCTCTCTCTCTCTCTATTCGGTTCCATGTTTTCGATTGTATATAAATCGGTGAACCGGAAGCCGGAGGGGGGGGGGGGGCCCCGCTTACGCTGGCTCCGCGACAAGGATCGATATGTCTCGTTGCTTTTGTGCGAAAAGTCAAGCGTGAAATTTACAATTTGCCTTTCTACGAATTGCGCCCGATAATAAACCGTGTGTATCCTCCGCTGGAACGAACCACTTCAGATCGACAAGCCGGGTACACCTGTGGCGGCGGCGAGGGGATCGCGCAGTTGTACGCCAACTATGGGAGGAATCCCTGGTCCCTTGGCATCGCGGGTCTATCATCCGCCATCGTCGCAGCAAACGCCACCGCAGGGCTATCAGGGTTTGCCGTCCCGCGGCAATGAGCCGCCGCAATCGCCTTCGCCGTACAGCAACTTACCATACGCCAGGACTTCAATGGTACTTGCAACCGTTCTAGCTGTTCGTTTTTTTTTTTTCTTTTCTTTTCTTTTTTTTTTTTGTTTGTTCCCTCGGCTGTATCGTAAACGTCGCGACGTCGACGACCTTTCTTGCAGCGCACGGTGACCGTGTCGATATCTCTGTAGGTTCTGTAGACGGTTAAAAAAAGAAGAAGCGAGGGATAAAAGCGTCCGGTCGTTAAACGCTGTTAAACCCTTTTCCTTTTTTTTTTTTTATTTTTCTTCGTTTTTTTCTCTTTGACGAAACGATCGAGGAATTATTCGAGAATTCGATCGATGAATGACAAACTTTGAGGTCAACCGTCACTGTCCATCCGATGAAGGAAACTGGATGAAGGAAAACATCGTACTTTTTTTTTTTGTTTCTTATGAAAATCGAAACTCTCGATTAATGAAAAATTTGGCCATTTCATCTGGCAAACCTAGCCTAACGATATTTAACGAATATTGCGAGTTAATTATTTATTTAGAATACGGCAAAAGAGTGTCCAGATCTATATACAGGGTGTTTTATAACTTGTGGGACCCACTTCGAGAGCTGATTGTATGTCTAAAAATATGCTATTTGTCTTCGTTTATTAGATGTAATGAATTTTCTGTTTTAATTATTTTTACAAAAGATGCTCGAAATGACTACCTTGCATTTGAAGACAAGCCTGCACGCGTCTCGTCATTGATCTGATTACTCTCTCTATCATTCCTGGTGTTTCTCGAATTTGTCGGAAGCCTTGCTCTATTCTAATTCGTAGTATTTCATCATGTTCAATCGATGTTGCGTATACGATAGATTTTAAATGTCCCGACAAATGAAAATCTAATGGATTCAAATCCGGAGAACGAGCAGGCCATGCGATAGGACCTCCACGACCAATCCATTTATTTGCAAAGTGTTGATT